TATATGTGAAAAAATATTTTCATAAAATATATACAATATAAGTAAAATATATAAGATATAATATCGCATAAAATATAATATATACCTACTACCGTAAATAAAAAATAGAAAATATAATATTTTATTAAGAACATCTTTAATAAATTTTAATACATTTTTTGGTGATAAAATCAAAAAGTTCTAATATTTTTCAATTTTTCTTGGTCATCCAGTTATGCAAATATGAATATTTGTGTTCAGCACAAATAATATTATAACAGATATTTGTTAAAGTTTAAGTCGAAATTTTTGGAGAAAATTCTAATTGATAGTAAAGTATTGAGAAATGCTAGATCATGCAATCTAGTTTCCTGTTGTTTATTGAGAATGTCATTCATTGTCGAGTTATACCCAATGCAATTCATTATGACAATGCATATGTACGCGATATGCAGACGTCGCTGGCGAATAAATCTCCAAAGGAAGAACACGACGTAAAAGCATAATTCTTTCCCGGCGTTTTTAAACGGAGAACTACACACCATCAATAATATCGCCTATGACGGCAGCAAGAAAACGAATCGATAATTTCATCGTTATGTGACGCGCACGTCCTCGATTTCAAAACTTGTATGTATTGAAACGTATTGAGGTTCATGGAAACATCTTGAATTATTATTCCGTATAAAAGGTAAGAATGGTGTAAAGAGAAGTTTTAGTTAATTTCTTACGCTTTCCGTGCGCATGAGCTGTCGAATAATTTATTTATTTTAATATAATTTCACACAGAATATAGAATATTTCTATATATATATATGTATAATATATATGGTTGGTTTGGTTTTTATAGCATCTGTCGTCGCTGTTCTATTTCCGGGTTTTTCTTTTATTGGTATTGTTATTCTGTCAAACTCCGTTTGTTCCAAATCACTTTTTTAATATTTTCTCTCTAAGATCTTTTAGGTCTTCCTAACTTTTTCTTACAAAAGGCATCCGTTCCATTACAACTTTCGGTAATATATATTATCGAGTATATATTTTAGCGTGTGGGGGGATAAGCAGCATCCTTGACACAATCTCTTTAATATTGAAAATACTTTCGAAACTTTTCCCCCGACCTTGATTTTTATTTTCGATTCTTTATACAATGCTTGTATAGTTTGAATAAAGATCTGGTTTTATATTTATCTACTGCGATGTTTCAGATATTCTATTTCGATTATTATTTATTTGTATAAAGTAAATAATTTTCTACATCCTTTATATATTTAAACTTGGGTTTTTTTCTCTTTAATGTAAAAATTTACTAAAATTTATACTAGCGATGAGGTACTATAATAAATTAAAGATTTAATCGCATGATAAGAACGACATAACTAGTTTGTCAGAGTCTTCACAGTAGCTGAACCTTTAATAAGGAAAACGATAAAGTTCGATGAAATAGACGACACAACTATAAGCTTCGTTGTATCAAAGTTCAATTACACTTGATGCAAAAGTTATTTTAAAGATCGTGAAATTATATTATCACGAGCTTTCTCATTCAGTTTCTTTGGATTATGTTTTTGACGAAAGAAAGATAAAAGAAAAGATGGTATATTTTCGCACATTGTCTAGGAAATAACTTTATGAAGTAAAAAGTAAAGTATAAATTTCACCGAGCTGTCGTCTTTCAAAACATCTTTCCATTATTTACAACTATATGCTAGAACATAAATATTATTTTATCATGCTAAAATTCATGGCATGTAATAAAATTCTTTCACCTCGCGATATACCATAGATAAACAAACACAATGTTTATTCAAGGAGTGAGATAAAAGTTCCTCTCACATTTAAAAAAAATAACTATTTCTCGTTTCTCGTATATGCATTTTTCTTCTTTAACTTTCCATAGCTTTATTTAATTTAATATCATACGTTCGCTGCTCTTGATGCAAATTTTTAAATCTATTTTTAAAAACGTAAAACTCAGAAGAATGAAATAAAAGTCAAATCAAAAAGTTAATATTTTTATTATATTACTTTTTTTATGTAAATGTAATTTTTTAATTAAATTATCCTACTTCTATAGAATATTAAGAAGAAAAATTGTTTATTGTGTAAAAGTTTTGAAAAAATCTTTTTTATTCAACCTCTTGATATATAGATATATTCCGTTGTACAGGTGCACTGTGAAAAATTGAAATGCCCCGTGTGGAGCTGTTACGCGATATTGGTTTCTCGTACCGAAATTTAATGCGTGCTCGACCTGAATGGACGGTTCTGTGGCGAAATAAGACAGATTGGGGACAACTGTTTCCAGACAATTACAGTTGTCCTCGCGGAATATTAAACTGTACTCGAACAAAGTGGCATTTGGAACGAGACATCTGGCTGTTCGAATAATAGAGCCTATGGCGGGAGAAAATAATGGCGGGAAGAATAACGCGGAAAACATTCGCGTACATATCCGTTTGCCGGACTATCAAATGTATAGATCGCAACGTAAACTGTGTCAAATGAGTGGTTCCATAACACTGTGGGCATTCGCACGTGACAATTAACGCGAATGATCGCTTGTATCGCTTTCCGCTCCACTTGTTATTACATACCATATAAATATGCATCTTATAAAATACAAATATACACGATTAAAAAATCTTTCTGTCTTTGACGTTGTTTAATTCTGGAAAAGAATGTAATATATTTTTGATAAAAAATGTTTTATATATTTGTTCTGCATAAAAGATTTGCACAGTATTTATTTTCCTTTTAGAACTGTTTGAAAGTTCTTGGTGCAAAATACTTAATATTTTAATGATTACGAAATTTATCTTTTTTTTATACGTGGAAAAATATTTTCACAATATTATAGGAGATACAATATTGCCATAAACAAAAAAAAATATTTCGCTGAAAATCTTTTAATCAAATTTTCAAATCAAATTTTAATATATATTTTTATTTTGAGACAATCTTGTGAACGGATGAAGGAATGACGTTAAGCTCCTCTTATCGAAGGCTTTTTGATGTGATTGTAATGTAAGCATACGAAAAGAAGCGTCGGATTATTCCCTCTTGATTCTGTTTTCACTATCATTATTTTTTCGATTATATGTATATACGGTCGATGTGCGGAAATGATTAAAATTAATCTTGGGTTCGGTGGAGGATGTATATTGACATTTATGAAAATGTTTTATTATGTATATATATGTGTATGTTCGATAATTATATATATAGATATAAACGTAAAGAGAACGTAAAGCGATTTATTGCTTAGAACGCCATTTGTTCTTTTGCCAGTGTCAAACATGACGCTGTTTCGCATCTAGCAACAAGTCGATATTCAGACACTTGCTTTACCATGCGTAGTTTCAAGCATTTTGAACCAAGGCCAACGACGCAGAAGATATAGCTTTTGTGTCGTTCGGCATAAAACGATTATTTCCGCGTTCGCGTTCAATGAAATTTTTCAAGTGCCCGGATAACGAGAAAATAATTACTCTCAATATAAACGTGACGAAAAACGTTGAAGTTCTCATAATATAACATTTCTGATTGAAATTAAATGTTCCAGTAAATTAATCTACACGAAAAATTTATGAATGATAAATTGGTTTATTAATTTACGATTATTATAATGATTTATTAATTTACGATTATTATGATATTTTCATTCATCTTTAATTGTTCATTAATAATTTTACATATATTGATTATTCCTGTATTGATTGTTCGTATTGTGACATGATGTTTAGGCTTCTTTTTCAGATTCGTTTAATTAATTCGGCAATTAATTTTCCTTCTTTCAAGTGATTTTGTGCAATGGAAAACTGTTTTCGCTTTTAATACATTTTCTTATGATTTCCTATCGTTCGCTACTGGTTTTCCAATATCCGTTCTGCCAGTCCTTTAAATTTTAAAGAGATATTCACTTCTACCGCATAGGTTCTCGCAAGAATAATTAAATTTATCTTGATAGCAAAGTATTGACGTTGCAATAAATTACTTTGTTCGAAAAATATCTTCGTCAAAGTAATGAAATTCTCTGCACTATAATTATATTATTTTTTAAAATTATATATAATTATTTTATAGAGATAAAGATTTATTAATTTAATTATTGAAGCAAATCATTAATTAAATTGATAAAATTGAAATAATTTATTAAAATACATAAATTATTTAGGAATAACTAATTATATATAATTAACGCGCGATTAATAAGGGAACAATTCTTAGCATTTTTTATATAATATCTTACCTGGTGGACTTTTGTCCTTTTTTCTACGCCGATGCTTCTTTCTTTGTATTTCCTCGACGTAATTCGAGGACGAAGAATCCTCGTGGCTCGGAAATTCGCGGGCTTCATTCGCTGATTTCCGCATCTCCTCTTGCCTTTTTTTCAGCAGTTCGTAAACTCTTTTGAAATAATCCTTGGTGATATCTTCGTTCGATTTGTTCGCCAGCAAACCTTCGCCGTTCAAATAACCGAAATCACTGTCGGAGCCATTGCCGTCATTTATTTTCGAGTCGGAGCCGTTTGCGTGTTCCTTCAATTCCTCGCTTCCGTCGACGATTTTGAAGGTGTCGCTTTTCTTTACATTCGATCGCGCGTACAGTTCTCGATAATTCACGAAGGCACTTTTCGAAGGAATCGTGATGTACGGAAAATTCGGGGAATTGACGTTTAGTGTAGACACGTTGCCGATGTCATTGTCGCGATTTTTTACTCCGATCTCTGCGATACTCGGCACTTGACAGTTGACCGCGTTCGTCTTCTCGGGAAGCAAATAATTCTCTTGCAGACTGGTACCGGGTCTGCTGTTGTTTGTCAGAGTCTTTTCGAAAAATTTCATTTCCTTTTTCATCGACAATGATGCTTCATTCTCTTCATGAGATCTCTCGTCAAGTGGATTTACACAGTTTTTCAAGTTTTGACAAACCTTGCAATTGCGGGAGGAACAGAGATCGCGTTGCAGATCCTTCCACCTCGGTTTACTCATAAAGTCCTCCTCGGATATTTCTCTCTCCGACTCGCGGCGATATCTCTCGCTTCTTTTCCGTTCTTTATATTCCCGCCAAGATCTCTCCGCATTCTCCGGGCTCTTTATACGTCTCGAGGAATTTCGAGGTTCTCAGCGCTGACCGCCGACGTCGTCTCCGCCTTCTCTTGCAAAACGTCGCTCTTGGTTTTACAGTGGAATCTCCTTCTCTCCAAACTCGAGGACTCCCTTTTGACCTGCCACTTCGCTCGATTGTCCAGTTCCAAAGCTTCGACTAAGGCTTCGCTTCTCGATCGTCGATAATTGCGCGATTGTCTCCGAAACTGGGTATCTTCCGACAATCCTCTACAAGTTGTCGATTTCTCCCTTTCGATTTGCTTATCGAGTTTCGACTTCTCTCTCTCGACCATTATTTCGGGATCGAATCGCAGAACGCTCGTCTCACTGCGCACCTTTCGCGTTCTATAGTTTCTCCGATCGTTCTCGTGATTATAATCCGAGTATCTCTTCCTAATTCTGACGTTTTCGACGGTTTCCGGAATGTCGACATTAACGGCCGATCTCGAACGCGCCTGTTCCATATTCATTCGCCGCTGTATCTTTTCGCGTAAGAACGTTCTGATCTTCGCCAGCTCCTCCTCGTTCATGTCGTATTTTATCTCGCGGATGACTCTATCCTCCTCGTTCGGCTTCAAATTGTTCCTCGCCGAATCCTCCGTTGGAATTACGGCGCTCCGAGTTCGCAGATACGGTTTCACCTTTTTGCTTCCTCCATTCGGATTCTTCTCTTCAGGGTTGAGCGTGCCGCTTTTGTTCAGGCTACGATTTCCGGAAGACTTCTCGCTCGAATCTACTTTAGGCTCTCCCGTCTCAATCCCGTCGTATTCTTCCTCGCAAACCAAGTTCAATAGGGTCTCACTCTGGCTCCTCAGATACGCTTTAACTTTTTTACACCTGTCCTTGGCGATCTCCTCTGGCGTTCTCCCGATCGTATTACGCGTACGTAGATCGTCCACGATCTGCTGTCGGAGGTAATCTCCGGCGGAGTAGTTCTTGTTTCTCGCCGCTGCTCTTTCGGCGTTTCTTTCGATCTTCGTCTTCATCATCGGATCTTCCGTGGCAGACAAGTGTCTCTTTTTGCTCCGTCGCTCTATAATGTCAACGTCACTTCGGGACTTGCGCGGAACGAAGCTGCACGTACCGAATTTACTGCTGTAGCCGTCAATGTTGCGATTAATTTGAAGCGGCGTCGCGACGAACGATACGTTGGAAGAAGAGGTCAACGACGAGGTGGTGGAGGACGTTTGCTCTTTGCTCGTCTTTGAACTGGCGCACGTTGACTCGTCGATCGGGAATTGTTCGTGGGTTCTTAGGCCCTTCTTGAAGGAACCTCTGGCTCGCTGCGCCGTTCGGCCGGTGGTCTCCACCAGCAGCCGGCCATCCTTGTCTAATAGCTGGATGACGGGCAGCGCGTCGGCGGACGTGGTGAGCTCCCACTCCCAGTGCAGCGGTTTCTGCAGCTTCAGTCGAATGATCGGCTCCGGCGATTCGCTGCCGGGGCCCGTGGAATCCTGACCGACCGGACTGGAAGTCGTCGCCCTGACGATCGGATGGGCGTTCTTCATGGTCCCGGTTCTTTCTCTCTTTCTCTCTCTCTCTCTCGTTCGTATATGTATACGTTCGTTCGTTCGTTCGTTCTCGCTCGAGTAATCTGCCGGAAAAACTCACTCGCCCGCGTTCGCCCGTTCGATCGCGTCCCGATTAATTCCTCGTTCCAAACGAGTTTGTCGTCTGGAGTTCTTAACGGGTCCCTGCCTCGTCGAATTTTATGGATTTCGAGAAAACCCGACCGCTGTGTCTCGAAGCGCTAGTTCGTTCTCACGTCACCGTTCATCCCGAGATGGATTTTATTCTCTATATAAAAATTATTTTATGCTCTATGAAGAAAAAAAATTTAGATTATATTAATAATGTTACATAAGAGAAATCTTGAGAGTATTTGAAAGATATTTGCATGCTGCGATATCGCGAGAAGGATATTGAAGATAGACATCGCGCGCACGATCGTCGTTCGAGATGCGAGATACGAGATGAAGCGACTGCAGTCGCATGACTTAAAGTCGATGTCGCTTCACCGTTCACTTGGCGATAAGCTTCGAGTTAAAACTGCAGTCCCGTTTTCCGCGAGCTCCCGCGAATAACAGCTGCGTGCAGTATGCGCTCGCGCATACGAGCATCGTTGCATTTGTCGCTCGCGCGAGATCATCTGTTTGAAGACCGACGAAGACGAGCGCGCAGACAGGAACGACGGGTTGGTTGGTTGCCGATTTGCTCGTGTTGGCGAACGCGCACCAGTCCAAGTTCGCGCGCGTTACATCGCTTATGTAACGCGACTCTTCTTGCGGACTTGGCAGTCTATCAAATTCTCGGCGCCGAGTACGACTTTCTTTCTTCACGGGGCGAACGAAGGATGCAACACACAGAGACTTCGCGTCTCATGTTGCGGGCAGATTCCCGGAAGATTCATCTTCCGCGCGTTCCATCACGCCGCTCGTAATTTGCAAAAACGGACGAGAGCCGCTATATACGCTCGCAAAATGAGATGTCACACGTGTGCATGTACGACGAGGTGTATCTGTATTTATATTGCTAATTACGCGGTAATTAGAGGGCAATAATTGGTAATATCTTGATTACGATATTCAAGGTGCATAATTCACGATCGAATTTTAGCGAAGATTTTTTCCCTTGTATCGATAATACGCGAGCAGTTTTATATTTCACTTTCATTATTTTCAAACAAAACGAAATACGATGTATACCAAATATCTATTGATTAAATCGATAACAGATCGCGAATGCTCGTGAAAATCGCAGACTCAATTTTTCAATACTCTAGGGTTACAAATACACGCGTGCACAATTTTGAAGAATTTTAAATATTTTGAACGCTCGACAGAGAGAAAGAAAAGTACTTTTGTCCGGTTTTTAATCGAATGCTCGTTTAATCGCACACGCGAATAAACTGTTCATAACTCGCTTCGCAATCGGGAATTTATTCGTTCGTTCGTTCGTCTGGAAATCGCGCGCGATCGATCACAGATTCGCGGTCAGACTCGCTCAATATACGCGCGTTCGACACGTTCGAGATAGAGATTTCGAGCGTATTCGATCGGTGGATGTATAGATCAATCGTCGCGTGACTCGTACGAAAGGCAGCCGTGAATCTCACTGAGAAATCCACACACAGGCACAGTGAGAGAAGCGGATCTGGGACTGTGCGGCGCGGCACTGGCTGTAAACGCGCGCGGTGGCGTCATACCGATCCGAAAATAAATCCCGCGGGATCTATCGGGTAGGGTGCAGGAATTCCGCCACGTGGGACGTGTCATGAATACTCGCTTGTGTTGTTTCCGTTGCTCGCGCACAGGTGCGTTTACAAACGCATACACGATGCGTGACGGCGATTTTACATGCACGAAATTGTATTCATAGCGATGTGCATTACTCATCGAAATGTCATTCGATATTAAGAATAGAATTTTTTCAGCTGAGTAAATATGTAATTTCTAAAATTGTGGATGTAAAATTAGTCTCTTGTTGCGTACTACTTTATAACAGCGCGTGTTTTTATTAATCCGGTAAATTCACACCGGGTCATAAAACTCACATATTTTTTAAACTCAAAAATTATTTCATTATTTATTTTTGAAAAAATAAAATTTTTTTTTATGATACATCCAAGTATCGTTTTATGATGTAGTAATGTTTCGTAATATAATATATTTTGTTATATATGATATAATGGACATAATAACTTAATGAATATAATAATATTAAGTTTATCTCTCCAAAATGGAATACTAGAATTATTACAGAAATCTGTATATTAAAGCTGTCATAATATTATTTTAAAATAAAGCTGGCTAAATCCGCGAGAGAGTTTTTAAGTTTTTTTAAATCTCTCTCTAATAAATAATATGTCTTTTTAAAGAGTAATTTCAATTGTGACATTTCTTTTTCGAGGCTTCAAACCGTGTTCAATTTTTTCACCAATCTCCTGTCGTAATATCGACACAAACACTAGGTAAATATTTTTATACGTTGCATATATGTTGTGTGTACTCAAGATGTAGACAAGTAGCTGCTAGCAGGAGTACGGATTAGCATAATATTTCCGGATTCGTATAGTACTCTCTAGGAACGTATACTTTCCGCCGTTCGGGAGCTGCATTTCATATTTACGACGACCCAGAATATTTAGCTCGACATGCATCTACGGATGTGTGTTGTAACCGAATGCCTTCGTGAAGTGAATCACTTGTGAGTTGAGAAATAATTCAGCGATGGAAATATACGTCGCGCTCGCGGCGCAGTGTCAGATGTCATGAATAAAAAATTAGTCGTTACCCTTTTATGATCGAGCGAGTCTGACACGCCGATTCGATTCACGATGCGCGATTCACAGCCGCGTCAAACTGGTCCGTGCTAACTCGTCGGTTGCTCGTAACAGGCTCTTTATTTTTACTCCCCTCATGTGCCCCCGATATCGATAGAGAGTTCTAGCACTAAATTCGGATAAGGAAGCACGGCCATATACGCTGTTTCGGAATATCTATGCGTCCGTCATTCGCGCGCAATGATCGCCAAATCCGGTTCGTAATTACGGGTCGCACATAGTTGACGAGTGTCCTTATTTTGGTCCTCGCGTATGGAGAAGAAACCGATGATTGATATTATTAGAAGTGGAGTAGAAATCGCGCGTACCCGCAATGTGGCGACTCTCTATATTTGCGGCGCGATGAGATTCATCATGTGTCGTTAACCGATTAACCGCGAATCGTCGCGTATGCGCCTACATAACTCGCGAGAGATGAGTCAGGAGGATATATAATTGCCAGAAACTGTTATCTTTAGCGATGTCGCATCGAAGTACGCAGTTTCGAGCGAAAGATATTTAATGTGTGACATAACTGCACAATATTTCCCATTATAAGGCTTAAAGTTTAAATATAGATTTTATGAAAGTGGATTTATATATATAATTTTTTAATAAATATATAATTCCAATATATATATATATATATATATATATATATATATTTCTTCTAATATAATTTTAAAACATATGAAGGAAGTATCGCAATTTGTCAGAAAAAGTAAGAAATTATGAGATAAATCTCATTATTGTTGACATTGCGATGATTTTGTTGTGAAGAGGCCGGCAAATGGAAGAAAAAGAGTTGTTATACATCATAAAAAATAATAATTTATTTAGCATTCAGCGCAGAAATATAAACGTACACTGTGTGTGCTAGGAGTTTGTTATATCTGTTTGAATAAATGTAAACGAGAATTGCATAGCTCAACAAATTGCATCACCGGGTATAGCCAAGCGCAAAACTTGGCGCATACGCATGGCTCTTTCATTTACATATATAAATCTCCTACATATATTATAAAATACCTATTAATATATCTTTTAGTCTGAAAAACGCATCGAGAAAAAAGAATGACGAAAGTATGATTACTCTCTTACACGATATCATTTTTTTCTTATTTATTCTCTTCTATATCCTATTTCTAACAAGTCTTCTAACTCCTTTTGCCAGATACATTCGAATGTACAGTATATCCTTTTGCAGCGTATATTTCGCTCTCTTAATTGTTACGATTCGTCGCTAAGAAAAAAAGTTGGTAAATTAATATTGGATTCAAAATTATCGGAAATAATAATTTAAAGCGCAGTTTCTCTTTTTCTTTAGAAACTGAATACTGTCAGTATAAATTAATCGTAAAAACGAGATTTCAGTAGTTATACTAAAATTTTATTACCATTAATTGTTACCAACGTTTAACTAGATTTGACGTACGTTAAAATACGAGAGAAGACGATAAAGAGGAACACCGTCGCGCCGCGTTTTGAATTTTATTGCTTTCTTCAGACAGAAGCTAACATCTCTTGCGGAAAATGCGAAATCTGCATTTCGATAGACCTATCTATGTGTGTCAAGTAACGTTATATAAAACGTATATGCACAATCAATGTCAATGGGAGGTACTGCTCCTTACATAGCATTTCACTCAGTTTTGCCGCGTATAATAATACTTACATTTAGTACTGTGTACATATACGTATGTGATAATATAATACGTTAGCAATCGTGTATATGCATATATGCGCGTATAATAAGACTAAAATCTTAACAAGCATTTGCAGTACATATCTAATTGTGACGCGTCGCGCTTTCAGCATCGCACAAATTCAGATGCAGTCGCTTGTGTGTATGATAAATCATATATATAATACTTACAATAAGTCAACAGAACATACATATACTGTTACGTAATTACAGGCGCGTTACGTCTCGTTTATCGCGGAATTGCACGTTTTTTTTTCAAGGGAATTGCTATATCACGTATCATACTGCACTTCCGCCGTGACACTGAATCCTTATTGCGTAAATTAATTAGATAGGAACTAATACAGAAGGATTGCAACCGCAATATGTATTTTATACTACAATTATTACATATCATTTTTTAATTAAAAAGAATTAAAAAAGAACGATTTTATGTAATGTGTAAATAAATCAGATAACAATATCCATTATTGCGAACGACATTTTGCGCGTTTCTCTATATTTCTCTGTTGCATTTGCAAAATTGCACGTTACTTCTCGAGATATTTTATTTTCTATTTCAATTATACATACACATATAATAAGACTTGTTTAAATAATTTGAAAAAAAAGTATTATATAATTTGCCACGTGGGGAGATCAAACCGATATATCAAGAAAGAATATTTTTCGCAATACGTTCGCAGTATCGTATTCGCATTATATATTAAACTTATTAAAGACTGTACACAGTTTCTGAATACAGTCAGCCTTAAACGAACGTATCGAGACATGTACGCGCAACATAAACGGTGCAACAAGTGTATTTCGCTTGCTATCCTATCTATGTAAATTAGAACGATGGGGCACGCGCGATTTTCCCGATACGCCGTGTCGTCGAAAAGTCGCAAGGAAGATCTCGACAATAACAGAGCTACAAGCTGATGTCCTCTCAGAAATATGTATCTAAAGTATTCACAGAGCGTTAAACTAATGACAAAAACACGGAGCTCCAAAAAGAATAACAGATCTACACGAGGCGAATTTTTATAGCTTTGCGTATGCCTGCGTACAACAGTGTAGCTTCACTTTTGAATTTAAAGTAGCATGCTCACAGTTTTACCCTTGAACCAAGAATCTTACAGTTTATATTTTACTGTAACATATCTTTTTCTCTCTCTCGTTATTTTGAGTCTCAAACAAATTATTTCTTGCAAGAGTATTTCCGTCAATCTTGCGAATTCAGATCTTATTTCGAAGATAAAGTTTTTTACGTTAAATATTTGTTCATTTTTTGTGTGTGTATATAATATTTAAAAATCATATTATTTTAATATTTTATTTTTTTAGATGATTCGGATGCATTAAATAAATTGAAAAAATGTAAATTATATTTTTGAGAATATAAATTAAATATTTCGCGCATAATATTACTTTATTTACACGGTATTCCGCTTTAAAGATATATCTCTTTGATTCTCTAGAATGAAATTTTAATCAAAGTGATTTTCAGATACGATAGACAGATTTACTTTGAAGTAAAATTATAGTCACGGTTTATCCGTTGGAATTATTCATTCGGCTGGACCTCCACGTGTCTCGATAATCGAGATACGCCACGCGCAAAATTCAGTTCCAATAAGCCGGGGTCGCGCGCGTCCTGATAAAAGCGACGAGTGGATTTGCAATGACCAAATTTTCCGTGTGTTCCGAAAGGATTCGCAGTGAATCGCCCAGCAAACAGACCGCTCCGCTACTCGATCCCAAGTGCTTTAACTGCACAGTGCGGTCTAGTTATTCCGTGAACGAATTCCGTCGATTTATGGAGGAGAATAGTTTTTTTCCGCCAGGTAATTGTTCGGTTTGTGAACCGTAAAATACTCTAATTTCCTGACTTCCTCCCTCGGTATTATAAAGATTTCTCTTTTCGATTTAACTTTATATATATATACATGTATGTATGTATATGTATAATGTATATACTGCGATAAAATTACTTTTTTATAGTACAGGATACAATTAACATAAATTTTCTTGAAATGTCAGATTTTAATTAATTGTATATCATGTTTGAAAAATTAGTTAAATGTTTAAAGGAAACAATAATTGAAAGACATCTTTAAATGTCTCGTTTGAAATACAAATTACGAACGAATATATTTGCATTTAAATATTGACGATTTTTTTTTTCGCGAGAAGTAAAAAACAAATTTCATTTTACATAAGCAATGTGACCATATTCAAGGTAAAACTATCAGCATACTATTTTTAAACGAAGCAATTAGTACCTGAATTTTCCCCGTGTCTGGTTACAGCGTGTATCTGAAAAAAAAAAAAAATAATAATATGAAATACGATTTTAAATAAAAATAGAGATTTAACCATTTTATTTTGACAATTACAATAGTTTGATTTTATAGATAAAAATAATTTTATAGATAAAAAGATATTCGTATGGAATTATAAAAAATATTTAAAAAAATTATATAACAATGTTTATATAGAATAGCGATAATAAACGATATTATTATGTCAGCTGATAATTTGATTAAATCCTACAATTAAAATATCGTTTTACCGACCTGGGCAACCGCCTCTCGTCGCTGAAAGGAACTTTTTTCCGCGTCCGGCAGTTTCTCCGATTTCTTGAACTCGCGAACAAGTTCCTGGCAACCATCGGAATCCCGCGACGACGGTATTCCGGGGGCTCGCCTTTTTCTCAATGCGTTTGCGTCGTAGTCTGTAACGATCCCTGCGGATTCATTTCCGTCGAAAGTTTCCGAATGGATCACGGTAAAACCGCCCAGGAACTGTACCGATTTTTTCGCGTCAGTTTTAGCGAGCGACGCACGTGTTTTCCCGTCGATCTCATTCGAGCCGATGATCATCTTCTCGTGCCCTTTCGCCACCTTCGATTCCGCTTTCGCTGTTTTATGAATCGAATCGTCGGCAGAATCTTTCGGGATCTTCGCGGCGAACTTGGAAAATTGAATTTCATTAGACGACGTTTCGAGTTTACTGTTTGATTTAACGCTCCTGCCTCCGTTTTTCGTTTCCTCTTCTTCCGTTATTACTTCCGGTTGCGAGTTCCTCGCGGCAACGGGTGGCGCTTGGCTCTTCGTGGATTTACGCTTACTTACTTTCTCTCTATCGTTAATTTTAGAATGTCTCTTGACGGTCGTCGCGTCGCCCCGAATCTCGTAATATTTAACGAAGCTCTTAACTTTACCCGGGGTTATCGTTACAACGTCGCGGGACGATTGGTCGTTACTTACGTTAACTACGGGTGTTACGGCCCTGTTATTGTCATTATTATTACAAGGGATTATGGAAGTAGTTCTCCTAACTATGGCACATTTATCGTCGCTACCCTTTGTATCGTCTAATAATGCTAATGTCGACCGGTTCGCGACTCTCCTTCGATCATCATCATCATCATCATCATCATCATCATCATTCTCACTGACCATAATTACTTCATCATCATCATCATCATCAGTCTTTTCTTTGCCGTGACTGCGAGTCTGTTTCGAAGTTACCTCGTGTTTTCTTTCATTTTCCAGTCTGCGCGACGCAACCGCGATTGCCTCAAATTCTCTGCTATCGAAAATCTTATTCATGGTTGCAGGTGCTCCGATGGGAATTCTATTTTGAAATTTATTCATCCGCTGCTGCTCGTACTCGACATCTTTTTTCTTAAGTATCGCCTTGGGGGCGCGAATGTCTCGCAATTTTTTAAATTCTCGTTTAGCTTCATCAGCGCTTTTTATACCTTCGGACGTTTCCTCGTTTTTCTTTATTTTTACGCAGATCTCTTCCGATCTGATATTCGAATTATTTTCATCGATCGTCTTTTTTACAGAGTCGTCTTTCACAGTTTTATTTTTAATATTATAAGATTCGTTAAATTTGGTTACTTCAATATTTTTGTTCTCTATGATTTTTTTATCAATCGCTGGATCACAAGCGCTATTTCGGAGATCCTGAAGTCTTTTCTTGACATTTATTTCTGTGAGATCTTCCTTTCCGGTTTTCTCGACGATCGTCATGTCACTATTTACGTCAATAATCTTGGCGTTTATAGAAATATCGCAAACTTCATTTCCAGATATTTCAAGCGATGTAGAACCTTCTTTCTTTTTAAAAATTGCATTATCTATCGCGATCGAGCGGGAAATATTTTTGTCGTCTTCACTGTCTATCTTCATCGATGGTTTCTTATTTTCGGGACTCACTATTTTTAGCTTTATGTTATTAAAGTTGCAGAGCAACTCGTTCAGAATATCATTCTTTACGTCAGAAACATTTTTATTTTCCGATTGCATTGATTTTACGTCAGTGTTTGAAACTTTGACATTTTTTTTATCCATTTTAGATATTTTTTGGTTTTCCATGTATATTTTTGTCGTTTTATTATATAAATCACACACAGGTTCGCTTTTTTTCGTAACATCCGGTTCCCGAACTTTATTTGTCGATTCATTCGGTATATTTGATTTTTCATGCATGTTTACAGGAGACACTAAATTAGTATTAGCGCAATTTATGGAATTATCTGTTGAATCGTCGGACAACATAGTCTCTAGAAAAGAATTTCGTTTAATTTTTACGGAAACGCTTTTCGTAAAAACCTCTTTCGATGGCGAACCTTCTTCGCGGTTATATTTAGAATCCACAAAATTGCTTTTCTTTTTATGCTTTTTCGTCGACGATTGTCGAGTTTCTTCGATTTCGAATTCGTTTGTGAAGTCGTAAGTGAGAATGTTCGATTTATCGTTGTCGCGGTTATTTAAAAAACTTGGAAGTGACTCATTGACGAAGATCTCTTCGTTTTTGATAACGCGCTCCTTTTTGATGCTATCATCAGTTTTTTTCAAAAATTTTTTTTCATTACTGCAAACAACTTCTAAACTTTTATCTGTAAAGCGACGAACGCTTTCTGCGATTTCTGAAGCATCCAGCGTTCCACTTTGATCTATTTGTTTATCGTTCATGATAATTTCCTTCGTTTTTGTAGTCGTCACATTTTCATTTCCGATTACGAGATTCTCATTGCTAACGGGCTCGTTCCGCGATATGAAATTAGAATCCCCTTTATGAATCTTCCCGTCATTAATATCGTCGTAATGGCTTTGCGGAATTGTCTTTAATTTCATGTCAAGTTTGTTTGTGTCGGTTAGCATAAAGGAATCGTCTTCTCTCGTCGCGGGATTTCGTTTCTCGGCGCTTGAAGTACATGATTTATCTCGCAAATTGTCGCAAGAATCTTTTACGTCTGTAAATTCCTCTCGGATTTCGGTCAATTTTACGAAAGGAGCGGCGCCGCTTTGTTCGCTAGCTTTTTCATCGCCGAAAATAGATTTGCGGCTTTGCAAACTATCACGCGGCACACGGATTTTTACATCGCCATCAACATTGTGTGCGGAAGGATTTTGCGAATCGATTACGAATCGTACTTTCGTGCCTGTACGATGATCGAAATCGTCGCGAGAATTATCGTCACAATTGGACAATCTTTCAACATTCTCATTATCGAATTGGTAATTATCGAATTTTTCTGCAAACTCATTATCGAAAGAGTCTCTCCACCTATCCAGACACTTTTCGAACGGAAGATTCGTCGTCGTCACGCGAAAACAGATATCATCTTCGTCGTCCAATATTTTCATTGTCGATGATTTTTTCTCGAGACTAGCCGAAGGTGGAGCGAATATCTTTTTATCTCTGCTCCCGGACATTACATCTTCGAAATCACGTAGCGTGAAAAAGAGCGGCGGATATTTGTCGAGTGTGCTTCGCTTAGACGACGCGAGCTTGGAGGAAGGTACAAGTGGTTTTAAAGCGGTCGACTTTGCCGGAACTGCATCGTCGTTTACTTCGCCGAGCCTCGACGGGATTTCTCTCGTCGCGGATATCGTATCGTCGTCGCGCGATCGCGGAGGAAAGTTCGCGTCGATCACATCCGTCGCGACGTCGCAGCTCGTGACACTTTTGACCTTCGAGTAGCAGCTCGCCGCAATGTCGCGTCGCGAGTGGAGATCTTCGACGGTAGATCGAGATTTGTTGTCCCGTTGACATTTGTTCGGTAGGGGCGGCTGCAGCGGACGTTTTTGTCGAGATCTCGCATTATCCTTCGTCACTTCCGTTGACGCGATTGGTGCAGTTTTGTTCTTGCGTTTTGCTCGTCGCGGTGGCACGGGTGGGTCAGACGAATTATCTGAAAAGGAATTTGCAGTTTTAGAAATAAATTTGATTTCGATAAAAACAAGAGAGTTCTTCGAATGAACTATTTTATAAGAAAATATACATTATAATATAATATTAAAATTGAGATGTATTATTGTAACGTTTATGGTTCTTACAATTATGCATGATGCAAACGATGGTATGAATATATATGCGCTTTACGAACGAATTAAATTAAATCGCGAACGCGAAAGAGTAACCACGACGTTAGATTGTTCGAGACATACTGAAGGTGATTCCTTAGCAGTGACATGATAGGTCCTCCCTTCTTTCTACGCAGTCAATAATAATACTTATACATATATCAAATCTTTATCTTATGCTAGATGCAATTTCATTAAATATAAAAATGAAGAAACATCGCGTATTATAAAAAAAATTTTATTGTGTGTTTTATTGCATTTTATTGTATAAAATATTATAAATAGAAAAAAATATGGCTAATTCGAATTTTAGTCTATTCAGATGTTGAATATTTTATGCAACTATCTTAGAACTCTCTTGGACGATATATATAACACAAAATATTTTTTATTTTTGAAATATACGATATCTCATGAGTTCGTTTAATATTTTCGTTTAATATTTTTTATTCGAGGAAGGATGATAAAGCGTTTATACGAACGGAGTACTTTAACAACTCCATGCAGGGCTTCGTTCGCTAAACGGATTATGTCAATTCGATTATCTGTGACGAGGAACGTCAATTGTTCTATACGGTCGCGTATACATATAGATGTGACGTAGAGATAATAGTCTTTTCGCAAATAAAACTTTTCATAACATTTTGTCACATATAATAAGTTGAAAAAATTATATACAAATGTATTATAAGATATAGATGAATTATATTATTTACCTAAATAAAAACTTGACGGCTTGTTCTACTGACATCGAAGTCTTCTATAGATAGCAGCATACTGGCAGATTTTAGCGCGTTATTGTCAACTAGATCAGTCATGTATAAGCTGTTGGCATTATTATGATTGCCCATCGCGCTGGATGCGGCACTGCTATATGCGCTTGAGGTGTTCTGCACCGACGCAACATCCGTAGTTTTTTGAATAATCCATTTATTCATCATACTGGACGTTTCCGCCTCTGTCGACACGTCGAATTTGATATCACTGCGAACGAACGGGAGATTGGAAGAATTAATTTTTTCATTAGAGACATCTTTATTTTTACAGTATAATATAAGAATAAATTAATCTAGTAATCGATCGCACAGTCGGGGAGATTAGTAATATATGTATAAAATACGTTTTAAATTCGTTTATTTAAAGCTAATACTTGATGTGGATAAAATCGTTTTTGCAAAACAACTTTTATCGTATTTTAATAAATTTTTAAATTGATTTTAACGTTAAAGAATACTTACTGTAAATAATGATTCTCTACAGAGGCCTGGTTCTGATCATTTCGCGATTCCATAATCTTTTGGCTAGCGGGTTGCGAGAGAACCAACTCTACCGTTTCAGATGAGCTCTGCAGCATCTTCAGAGCGTCCTCGTAGCGAAGGTTGAGCAAGTTCTGTCCGTTTATTGCTACGATCCGGTCACCTAAATCGCGAAAAAATTTTACTTTTATATTTTATTCTCTAATTTTAATTTATTTTTTTAATTCACATGTATGTGAATTTTCTTTTTTTTCTTTTTGATTTATCTATTTTATTTGTATTTGAATTATAATCTCGATTGCGACGAGTCCGATACATCAGCTTTAAAGCGGAATAAACGTTTTACTCTCTTGCGAACCTTTATTGACGTTTCCGGCCATATCAGCTGATCCGCCAACGGAGACCGCCTGAACATAAACGCCGCCGTCGTTACCCTCTGTCACTTGCAAACCTATGCTACCACCGTGGCCACGTTCCAACTTGATCGTGTGCAAAACTCGTTCCTCGGCAAACGACAGCTCTTCCAAACGAGCCATTAAGGATGCCGACATCGATTCGTCTTCCGGAACACGAAAAGTTTCGTCGTCGGTTCGTATATCGGCATCTGTAGAGTAAAAGTAAACAGCGTTAGCTAAAACATTTTATTTCTTGTGTGAAATTTTTACATATATGTATAAGTATATTTATGCATATGTACAAAAAAATATAAATATGTATATGTTATAAAATATAATTATATAATTAATTAATACTTACTTAGCACATATGCTTCCGGCATGGGTGATTCCGTGGATCGCGCCGATATTGATTGAATGGATGATTCGGTGTCGGATTTTAAAGATAGCGATTCCGTGTCGTCGGTAAGCGCGATATCTTTCTGCGGCAAACTGCTGTAGATTGCTCGTGTTCCCATTTTCACACCCAATCGACGGGGCAAGCTGGGTGTACGAAAACCACCCGACTGCCTTGGTGCGCCGTAATTCGGTAAACTAGATGTCTTCATCTAGTTTATAACATAAAATATCGTTAAACAGAAACGTACGATCAGTATTTCAAAAGTAATTGAAAATTGAAAATTTTTTAAATAATAATTTCCAATATTTGAACGAATAATGAACATTTATATAATTTAGACATTACCTTCTGCAGTGTCTTTTTCACGTCTGACACATTCCAAACTTCCTCCGGAACAGGGAACTCGCTCGAACTCTTTTTTTTCGAATTTAGACGAACCTTATTAATAGCGGCGTACAATTCTTCAGTGCTATCAGGTTTATCCAATTGATTATTGTTCGATATAGAAGTGACATGGCGGTTCGATATTTTGATGTTTTTCGGAACTGAATATTCAGTTTCAATCGATTTTGTTTCCAATAAGTTTGGTTTAGCTTCCAACAGAATCCCGTTCGGTGTCGTTAAGCCTCGATCCGATTCCTCTTCTGTGTCTCGCGATTGACCTTCTGGCTCCAATCGCACGTTGACTTGCGCGTAAAGAGCATCTTCTTCGGATGAATAAAAGCCAGGTTCGCGAACGACGTCTTTCGTTATTACCACGTTAGCATCTTTCTGAGGATTTTCGTTCTCTTTATTTTGATACTCCTCTAATTGCATCGGATAACTTATTTTCTTTTGAACCTTGACAGTGTTCGCAATCGCTATTTTAGTTTTACCGTCATCGATCTTCACTTTCAACGGCGTAGGTTTGTCTTCCGTTGTCAAGGGTACTCCAAAGTCTGGAAAACAATAAAAATCAATTTTTTTAAGCATTTATATTTAGATTTGAAAAAAATTGCACTTTGCAAAAACAATTTATGGCAGATTTATTAAATAATATTTCAAATAATTACGGTGAATTTAATAAAAATACAAGAATTTGAGAAATATCAGTAATAATTAATTAAAATTGTTTTTTTTATTCAATTTTCTTAAATATTTACTTTCCGAAAAAAATTGTTATAGAAGAGAAAAATCAAAATTCTAAGTTCGTGCGACAAAGTCATAATTTAACTAGTTGAAACTATTATGTAACTTCCGCGAAAGTTCAAATTCTAAGCATTTCAGCAAGTTTAATCGTTAGAGAGGAGCGTGTATATATACCTTTCGCGAGGCCTTGGAGCGATGTAAGCTCTGAATGAAGCCTTGAGAAGAACTGATGATGCAAGGAAGTGAGCTTGAAGGCGAAATAACTTCTGGAAAATAGGAAGATAACATATAATATATACGTACTTTCTCTATATCGTTATTGCGAGCGGCAATGGATGACAGTAAATGCAAATAATCGATAGGTATTTTCGCTGACATTTCATGCTACATATTTGAAAGTCGATCGCGATCGACCTTTCAAATGGAGACGGGCCAACTTACTTTCGATGATCCATCCGTAGCTTGAATTTGCATCGTTTCCCGTTCAACTTGCAGTTCACTACCAGACAATTCTTGTTGTAACTCAATGTCTGTACATCTCGCCACTGAAAGTGAGCCAATTCCGTTCTCTCCCTCGGTTCACCCCCTCGTTCCAGCAGCTTCAAGCCTTGAGCGTGTATCGCCAACCACACGTTACTCTCCGCTTTTTTCTTGCCGGTCTTGTTCTTATTGTTGTTGCCGTTAATGCCATTACTAATGACATTATTATTGTTCTTATTATTATTGCACACTTCGTCGTGATATAATCTCGCGCCTTTCGCCTGCTCGCTCGTGTAGGGAATCATCGGCGCGTTCTCGCGAGTGCCTAATAGCGGGATCCCGATGTTGCCGTAAGCGGGGCAGACTGTCGTTTCCCGTTCTGCAGATTTCTTCGGGTGACAAGACTTTTCCGCGCCGTCGAGCGTTGACACGGCGTCGCAGCTGTCAGACACGATCCTCTTTCCTTTTCTCTGCTGTGCCATTAGCTTCTCGAGCTCCTTCGAGTCCACCGTGGCAATGTAGTAGTGCGAGCCGTAATCCGGCAGGGACTGCGCGTGAGTTATGAACATCTCCTCGGCTTTGTTCGAGTCTAAGCCACGACGCTCGCGATGAGCGCGATGTAGTTGCGCTCGAAGTGTATCGGCGTCGACGCAGGGCGGCGATTGATGCCGGTCCGCGCTCAATATCACGGATTCCGGCACGTAATGCTCGAGGAGGAAATAATGTCCACAGCCGTGTTCCTGCCAAACGGAAAATAATTCGGAGATAAAACGGAGAAATTGCCCGCGAATTATGTCAAAGTGGTCAACGCTATCGTACACGGGGATCAAAACAAAATGTTTTTAACATTATTCCCTTCGATAAAAAGCATCTGAGAATGCTTTATTACCAATGCTCTGAATTTTTCTCTTTTTTTTTATTAACAGCTAAATTTCTATTAGAAATTAGGAAATTAATTTTTTTTATTTATCTTGGAGAGATTTAGAAATTCCTTGACACTGAAATTATTAGATTAAAAGATTTTTCGTTTTTTTTTACATACACAAATCTTTATGAAACATCAGAAATCTTATAGTTGTAAAGTAGAAGTTCACTGTCTTAATCTATAAGGGGATATAAAATTATTGCAAAGAGTCGAAAAATATGCGATGATGCAGTTTCTAATGTTGTTTAATCCTTATTATTTAGAGCTTATTTAGAGCTTAGAACTATTGTTCGCGAACATTTCACCGTTCCGTATCGTTGACGGTAATCTCATCTCAATAATAGCGCGTATCATGTAATTCTCGTTAACTCACATTGACGTTGTAGTTTCCGAATTCAGCTTGAAGTGCAAGCCCTGTCAGATTGATTAATTCGGAATAGGGGCAGACCAGCTGCTGCTCCAGTATGCATCGCCTTATTTGTAGATATAGTAGATGCTTCGATATCCAGCTTCTGTGGAAAGCGATACGATCAGTTAGTTGTAGGCGAAACGGAACAATGTTATTACTGAAGTTGATTTGAGAGCAAACCTGATGCCGCGAAGAGATGGTAGGAAGAATCGAAGCCGCAGATAGAGCATGAAACTGGTCGGTAGACCCAGGAAACTTTTGCTCTTGCCGCTGCTTAACCATCCCGGTGGTGCGACTTATTTAATTTTGTATCGGGCGGTAATATCGCGAAATCTCCCGCCAGTAGCACGGCTAGACCCAGAGTGAAATTCTCGTCTAGACTTTCCGCTTGGACAATAGCCTGAAAGGATTTGCATATAACGTGAAGTAATATTAAAGTAATATTGTGTCTTGAAATTGGAATATATTAATATACACGTGAGTTTAACTGATATTAGATTCACTTTGCTTAATATGGCAGATAAATATGTTATAGTTACAGCGTGTACTTAAATTTTTATGATAAATATGATCGATTTATTTATGTCAATACGCGATATAATAATTTCTACGAAAACTTGCGTGAATATTATACTCTCATTTGATATTTTTTAAATTTATATATTAGTATTTCTATTTGACATTTATCGCATATATTTTATTTTTGCGCAAAATATGCGAGATAGAAAGCTGAGATAATGTCCGTAAACTTTATGATTCCTCATGGAATTATGATGTGAGACAAACAATTAAATGCAGAGAGCGCGGTTGCATTTAATTGCTCTAAAAGTTTATTGTAGCACGACGGATGATATCTATTTTCACCACAGAGATAATTTTCCATAGGCGCTAATTTGCAAAAGCAACCTAATTTGGAAGTTCGCAACGGATTTTATCCCTCGTTTTCTTTTTAAGCGCTATATAAATCGACCACCTATTAAAAATTGTACGCCAAAATACTCCGGTCACGTTTGAAAGCTTGATTTAAGTGGTAGATATATAGAGAGAAAAGAGCAAACTTAAGAGACAGAGGCTTGTCTTTCTGAAGTATCGAACCTTTAAATTGTATTAAATTCACTTTGCTTCATTCTCTCGTGTCTTCTACTTTAACATCTAAACTAATAACGATTCTACCAGCTTCTTATACTCTTCTCTAAAATTTTAAAGACCTTTACTGTTAATATAATCTAATCACACATCTGAGTGAATACCTTTTATTGTAATCATTATAATTTTTAATTAGCATACAATTTTATTTGTTTTAATCAATACTTTTATAATTAATTTAGAATATAATATTGCCCTCTTGCGATTCCTTCGCATTATATTGCATTAGCAGTAAAACGTCTATGTCGGACTTAAATATTGAAACGAATAGATTTTTATGAAACAAGAAGGAATTGCACGATATATATATATTCATCGTTGAGATCACATAACTCGTGGTTTGTGGATGTGTCGTATATAATGATTAGGCTTGGCGGCTCGCCAGAACTTCTCGCGAGTTCACGCCGGAATTTGTGGTCTCGTAAACAACCGGCCATGTCTTGGCTTTCGCGGCCCAAGTGTGGTTTTGAGAGGCCACTACCACGCGAGTATTACGATCGAATCAGTTTTGTTCGAGAACTAGCGGATGAAACATTTTTAAAGGATTTTTGCCACGCAGAGGTAGAGTATATTTTTCCGTACGCGCAGTAAATAAGAGCATATAATTTCTTCGCGAAGGGGTCTCCAGATATATATTTCACTTACAGATGATACAATTTATTAGTGTCCTGAAAAGAATAGTTTTAGAGAAAAGTTTTATGAAGTGGAAAAGTTTTACGTGGTATGGAGAACAAAATAATGCATTTAAAGAGAAAATCGCCGAAGATTGATAATTATTTATAATTATTTCAATTAATTTTTCTAATTTATATTTAAAATATTTATTGCATTGATGAATAATGGATTACGATATATTTTATAATATTGATTTATCTCATCTTCAAATTAATATGTTATATATTTGATAACGTGAAAATAATTATTGATATAAGTGCACACACACGCACGCATTGCTTTGAAGATAAACGAATGCGAATGCTTATCAGTAGAATAAAGAAAACGAATGACGAATGAAAAATAATTAATGCGTTGGATTTTATTCTTTTAATGATAATCTTTCCGTTACAAACACATTCATCAATGCTGCTTTATTGAAAAATTTATTAATTCTTTATTATTTTATTATTCTTTGTTACAATATTATCAAATTCTAGATCAGTAGTGATAAACTGCTTTTTGTTAGAATGGTTTTTAATTCATCGAAATATAATTGATTGATGAATTTAGCCTCTTATCAGAGACGGACACTCTGTGGCAAATCCCCGATAGCGTGCAATTTTGATTGAACTTTAATCAATTTTCTTAAAAACGTGACACGGTCGAACTTTAAACTTTGGACAACATTTTCTGCTTAAATAATCTTTTTAATTAATAATTTTTATGGAAATATACATAGTTGATGTATGAAAAAAATTACTCTTTTATAAATTTAAAATATGCATTATTTCCCACCGTCAGGATTAAAAATTATTATCACAAAATAAAATTTTTAATATCCTCAAATAATTGGATTTATTCTGGGAGCTTACCTGAAATAAATCTCCGGCGGTGACCTTTTGAGGATCACAGGTCACTTCCACGCGTTGTCCTGTCAGCATTATTACGACTATTCGTCCAGAACTGCCCGCCTACGACACGAAATAAATTATTAGTTTCTCATCTTTGTATCATTTCGCTTTTTTTATTTTTCTATGTGATTTTATGTTAATATACATAATTATTTTTTATTTATTTGCTGGTGTCAAAAGAAATGTCAAAGTTCTTGGTATGAGATTATTAATTTTAAAAGTTTCATTGTATGATACATTTTTAGTTTTTAATATTAATATTTGCGTATTTTATACATATTATAAATTATACAAATATATTTTACGTAATTTCGAATATATATTTTAAAATATATTGATCAACGTGTCTTGTAAAATCTTGTATACAGTAAGGAATAAGGGTGATTCCAGGATCCGGTATGGTCTAGTGGCTAGGATACCTGGCTTTCACCCAGGAGGCTCGGGTTCGATTCCCGGTACCGGAATCTTTTTGACTTCAATTTTGCGTACACTTAAGTATAAGTGTGGGTTTAGGACCACCCGTTCTTGTAATCCGGTATGGTCTAGTGGCTAGGATACCTGGCTTTCACCCAGGAGGCTCGGGTTCGATTCCCGGTACCGGAATTTTTTTTTTGTATTTTAAACTTTAAACTTGACAAAGAAAAACTTACTGTTAAATTAAAATTTGATTGTGAGTGTAAAAACATTATAATAAAACTAGAAAAGTGATAAATTAAAAAAAGGTCGAAGTTTTTTGTTACTTTTTTTATAATAAGAATTATTTGCAATATTAAATTAGAACACATATAATTTATTAAATTTTTAGAATATATATTCTATAAACTTTTGAACGTTTATTTTTAATAAAATTATTATTTCTTTCTTGATATATATTTTATGCAATGATAATATATAAATTGTGTTGAGTATAATTTTTAAAAATAATTATGTACTCTTACTATATATACATAATAATTTATATATTATTTAAAAATTAAATCTATTCATATCTTCTTAATATTGAGATTTCAGCCTCCTCATATCAAGTCCGGTATGGTCTAGTGGCTAGGATACCTGGCTTTCACCCAGGAGGCTCGGGTTCGATTCCCGGTACCGGAATTTTTTTGTCATTAAATATTTTTAGACATGCATACAATATTTATTTTGTTTATATTAATAATGCATTTTATATGTTAATTCATTTTTTAAATCAATATTTATGAATCAAATTAATGCTTTTGTATGCATTAAAAATTTTATGCATAACAAAATTTGTACAAATTATAAATTGATTGTCATTTGTAATTTAAAATTTTTGTGTATGTTTATTTTTATCAAAATTAATGATTTGTATTATATATACGTAAGTTAATCTTTGTTTCTGAACCATTTAAAATAGTAAATTTTAAAATATTAACATTTAAATATTAAATTATACAATACATGTTAATTATTAAAAAATTATTTTAAAATAATATATTTAAGAAATTTTTTTTTAAAAAACATTTCTCTTTGATTGTATGTTATTATTATTTGTATCACTACCATCATCATCATCCGGTATGGTCTAGTGGCTAGGATACCTGGCTCTCACCCAGGAGGCTCGGGTTCGATTCCCGGTACCGGAAGAATATCTTTTGCAAATTATATTTTTGCAAGTGTTTGAACATGGTTCCGCTTTTAAATTATTTTTCCTCACATAATGATATAAATTTATATAACATTTATTTAATTTTTAATTGAACGAATGGACAAAATCGGATGAGGATGATGATATGTAATACGAAGACCATACAACGTCCGGTATGGTCTAGTGGCTAGGATACCTGGCTCTCACCCAGGAGGCTCGGGTTCGATTCCCGGTACCGGAAATCACTTTTGTTTTGCCGCTCTCGCAAAATTTTTTAAATACCAACACAAATTCCATTTGATCAGACAGTTTTCAAAAGCAATGTAAAATTTAAATCAAACCAAGCAACTTTCTTATCAATGATATTTTTATAAAATTCTGATATATGTCAAGTGAAAGACATTTGACATTATCTAACGTCCTTATTACTTTTATTATTAAATATTAACATTATTAACAATTTAAATGATTATCCATAGACAATCTTTCTTATCAATGATATTTTTATAAAATTCTGATATATGTCAAGTGAAAGACATTTGACATTATCTAACGTCCTTATTACTTTTATTTTAATTATTAAATTGTTAACAATTTAAATCATTATCCAAGCAACTTTCTTATCAATGATATTTTTATAAAATTCTGATATATGTCAAGTGAAAGACATTTGACATTATCTAACGTCCTTATTATTTTAATTTTCTTACCTTGACTTGACCCACACACAATGTCTTCGGAGGTTGATTAGCTCGTACGACAAATTCAGGACCCACACATTGCGCTTTATTGAAACACCTGATGGGACCACCAACCGTTCTGTACAGACGCGATGGTGCTCTTTGCACTGCTCTTCCTCGCCGAGCTCTTGGCCCGTTTCTTACCATGATTCTGAAACAATATTTTACAATTTTTCAAATTATTAACAGGCCAATTTTTATTATAAGAATGTATATGTGTTATAGAAAAAACTAGGCAGTTCTTGATAAGCTAGGATTGAAAAACGGCTCGCAATTCGTTTTTTCGTCATCGTTTTTTTCTATGACTACGTGATTAATATGGATCGAGTAGAGTGGATTTTTATTCGGCATAACAGACCGCGATACACCTAATTATACAGCGAACCAAAACGCTTATAGCAAAATTTCGTAGAAACGTGGAATTTCGCGATCTGCTATATGCAGAGCGATGTTAACTCTCGTGCGGAGTTTAATTAAAGTTTAATTAGACTCCAGATGCTCTTTTTTAGAGCAGTCATCGTTAAGTGCCTTCTTGTTTCGTCCCTTTTTCTTCACCTGTTCTTTTCTTCTCTTTTTTCCATCTTTTACCATTCGTATATTAATTTGACATAAGAACGAAACGTGATAAAAAGAGTCATGGATTCTTTTAAAACCGAATTAATTTTAATGATGTTTTAAGGGGTAGATAACTTTGCGAAAAATTGACTTTTTTAAAAGTTAAATATTTAAGAAATGAAAAACTTTGAATATATATTTGAAACTTTGATATTGTAGTTTTAGTTTAATTTTAATTTTTTATAATTCGCAGATTTACACATTTTAAATTTATTGATTGTGTTTGACAAAGAGCATGAGTCTGATTAATTTCTTCGATTTTTTGACAGACAAACAAATCTTTAAAATTAAATTAAGTTGATTTTTAAAAGTCGAATGAGAACCTATGGAAAAAGCAGTTTATTTAAATTTCGCTTTGAACAATATTTTGAATGCCAACAGTGACATACAGTGAAATAACATTTACATTTTATTGATATTTCCGGACTTGAATTCCAACGCTGAAACTCGTTGCAATAATTATTTTGCATTACAGATTTATCGCTTTTGTTTGTTAGAAAATCACAAACACAATTTTAATTTAACCATTGATAATTTCCAGACGCAACAATTGGTATCAATTTTCTGCGACTAATTACGCATGTATTTTTTTCTATTTCCGATAGAAAATTCTGACTGATCCTATTTTTGATCGAAAATTCTGGTGAATCTATTTGTGATCGAAATTTCTGATTCATCGTAAAATCTCTAGTTCGCAATTTTCGCGAAGGTCAAAGGTTCGCCACATTTCGACCTTTCCACGGATAAACGCGGGGGCGAAATAGTCGACTGGCATGCATTAACTTGCAAGTGGCTGCATCATTTAGTCGATTTTACGCGCTTCCGGACACATTCTGTGCGCTTCGAAAGTGTACTGATGTGTGTACTTATACGTTAGAGGAGGAGAGGCCTATACTTCTCTGCGAGAGCAAACTTGGTTTGCTCAAAAGCGTTTATTAACACGAATATATGACTGGGGGGGCAAAACTTAATAATGCGGGTCGCATGCGAACATCTCGGAACTATTTAACGTTCTCCCTCGCACTCTAATTTAATGCCTGCGCTTGTCGCAAGATTGATGAAATTCCGGCAGAGAAAGTGCGAATTTTGGAAGGGATAAATTGTCAGATTCTTCGTCTCATAACTCGAGATGTTACACGATGTTGTGAATCCGCTCGCTTTTGCATGTACATATGAATGTTACTTTAAAGGAACTTTGAAACCTTGTAAGAATAAATAAGAACTGACTGATCTATTTTTTGATTTGGAGAAATACTGTTACTAAATAGAAGGAAATTTAATTAAAAGAGTGGAGGTTTTAATCTACTAGAAATCCTTTTTTTTTCTTTCCTCCTAGCTTCAAACGAAATTGATTATTGATTAAAATTTGATTTGAATTGAAAATGAACGAGTCTGAAAGTAGTACAAATTGCTTCGGAAATGCACATTTTCTTATATATAGGAGTAACAGCGTAATTTCGTTACTTGAGCTTCTGAAGAATAATTCACTTTCTTCTTTCTTTTATCGTGATTTAATGATTTAATAGACTTACAGTGAATTTTTACGCGCAGATATAATTGATTGCGCGATGACAAATAAATAAAAATTACCTGGGAGGTTTCGCCGGCGCTTCCGTTTGGTTGTTACACTCCGAGTCGGAGAGAGCAGCTCTTCTCAGGGTGGTGATAATTCGAGGTGGCTTCGGGGGTCCTTGAATTCCCCTGAGCCTCATGGAAGACACTGGATTTTGTTGCCGAATCATTTGTTCTTCCTTTTGCGCGACGCATCGAGATTCAATCATCGCGACACTCGGTTGCGACAATCGTTTGAAATCCTCGTCAACTTGCGTTCTATTAGGCAGCTGCGGGTTCGAGTGCTGCCTTTGCAAAACTATTCTTCCCATAGATGTGCGTTCGTAAATATCCTCGCGAAGACGTTCGTTCGGTTCCGAAATTATGTTCGGTTGAGAGCGACCGGTGTTCGACGGATGCCTGTTTGTTTTTAATATTCCAAAATGAGAAAAGAACGTACAGAATAGAATGAGATTTAAGTAACTTATTAAATTTTTTTACTTTTGACACTTGAGATTAAAAATAAAAATTTTATAAATAATTTATATGTTATAGTTTTATTATTTAATTAACTATAAGTAAAAGTTTGTTTGAAATTTAAAATAAAATTAATTAGGATGGACATTTGATTTTAAATTCATGAGATATTACTTCTCTCCGATATAAAGTAATTTTTGAAGTAATTTTGACATAAGGAGCTATCGCGGGATTTATTGCATTTTGAAAACAAATATTTAATATCGCCTAAGGAGATTTATCGATGTATTGTAAAAATGATATAACAAATTTAATGAAATATAATCGATTTATCAACAAAAGGACGATGTCCTGCGCTTACCTGCTTATCGATGACGATCCATCGTGAATATCGTCGCCGCGACGAATCGCCTTTGCCATTAGACCATTGACTCGCACATCCTGGGAGCTCAGGAAGGGCTTAACCGGCAGAGCATATATCGGGTCGTAAATATTTTTGTCAGGATTACTGTCAGTCGTTGCGTTGGTAGTTGTCGTTAGCAGATTGCCGCTGCTCCTGGTGTGCTGAGGCAGCGTGTAAACCGGCTGTGAATACGTTCTCGAGTGATGATGAATCCGACGTTGATGATGAGTCGTCGACGGTCCTATCGATCGACTACCGCTTTGGATGTCCAGTTGTGATTGAAACTGTGTTCTGCAAACGTTCATAGTGGTAACTTCTCCGTGTTGCTGCTGCTGCTGCTGCTGCTGCTGTTGCGAGTCGCATAAGCTTGATAGATTAGGGTGCGACAGGGAATTGCGCGATTGCGCCCTGAAATGCGCCCCCTTCGCGTAATAATGATTGTAATGATTCTGACGATGATTCTGCGAGTACTGGGCGTAATTTTGTTGTTGTTGTTGAAGCGAGCGAAATTGAGCGTGATCTTGCTGTTGTTGTTGTTGCTGCCTCTGCTGAGCAGTCAGCTGATCCGACAAATGTCTGACATCAGGCTGATGTTGAAATGGTGGCAGTTGAACGTGGTTCTGCTGCCGTTTCAGATGATGCTGGCCGTAGATTCTCTCGCGACTTGTCTGATCGACGATGTTTCGTGCAGGACACAGAGTTGTCAGCTGATAGTAGGTTGCTCGCTTTCGCGCGGCATATTGCGGTGATCTCACCACTTCCCGATACATCTCCATCACTATATGCGTAAAGGGCCTTGCTTGTAAACGTGTTCGGCAATATTCAGATATTACCTGTAAAACAGAGAAACATGATACGTTGAATTATATGTTAATAGTGTGGGTGGCTGTTATTGATATCTAATATACAAAGGATTTATATATAATATATATGATGATTAACATCGTAAATTAAATTATGACACGGTTTGGAATATTGTGTCATTTAGGGGAAGGCATAAAAAATGAAAGTATAAATTTTTATATAAAAAATTTGAACAAAAAATTCGGGTGTTATTTTTTGCGAGACAAAGTTACTTGATTAAGGCAGTACAGTTTGCCATATATATTAATCCGATAACCCCCCAAAATTGATGAAATCTCGCCGACGAGAAAGGGCGCGGGAGCACGCTGCATGCGGCGTAATACGGAACCGCAATTTCTATCGAGGATTCCTCGGCGACCAATAAATTATCCCAGCCCTCGGAGTACCTACTTTGCCTTGGAATCTATATTCGCACAGATAAAGCAGCCCCCGATGGTTGAACACGCCGTTGGGTTAAACTAGAATCGCACGCTGACTTCGCAGTCGGTGGATGTTAGTCCTGGCCCGAATAGTCAAACCATCTGCTATTATTTGTTAAGAACGTAATAGTTTACTTATGTAGACTATTACTTTCTCTGCGATTGATTCTTTAAATATATATATTTTCGTCAACCGTTATCACACAATTTTCATGAAAAGAGTATTCTTTCCTATTTTTTCCCAAGATCTTTGTAAAAGTTCTTAGGAAAATCTTGTAAAAGTTTCGCATTTATTACACTATTATTAGGAATAGAAGAAAGCGTTAATAAATAGCGGCACTTTTCTCAACTCGTCGGATCTATAGAATTCCGATTAAAGCCATTGTTCCTTTAAGTTAATAGTTCGTTTCTCTATTGCGCGATGCGAAAGTTTCAAAACTAGATAATCGGCTCGCTGACTAGCACGATAAACGCATTGGTGCGGTCGTATTATGTTCACGATGATTATTATGAACTTGAATGGACGTTTATCTGACATATATCATTTAGACAGACGTAGACATGTGTATAATCAAACATGTAGACATATATCCATATAAAATGTTTTATACATATACATATAAATCAAATATATCAGTATATTATTATTTATTCAAGTTATTATAAAACTGAAATAGTTTGAATTTTATGTACAAAAATCTGTTGATATCGATATTCAAATTAAAAGTCAAACCTTTTTTATCATGGTATCTTTTGCACATTATCCCATTCGTAAATTAAAAATGTCATTCGAGGTAAGAAAAAGAAATGAATTTCCTGTTTTACCCTAAATTTTCACGCGTTTTAAGACTTGAGAGGGTTGGCTTCGAAAGGGTCGCCGCCGCCGCGATTTTGAGATTGCTGGCCGTTAATCATCGGGCTCGGCGAAATTATCGTAGTTATATGTACGTATAGAATGCATACCGCGTGCGTTCGTATGCAATTTCGTGTCCGGAACCGTCGCTCTCGTCGAGCCGCGTTAAATCCTCTGAAAATCCCCGGAATTGTGCGCACGAACCGGTCCGCGAATTTATTCCTCATAATGTCGCGACACCATCGTGCCTAATGACGTCCTGCGGCTGCATAAAGTAATCTCTCGAGAGCGAGATTCGGACCTCGTGACTTAGCTCGCGCAGATTTATCGCTCCGCCGCGCAAGACGTTTTAATCTTTATTCCGGCTCTTGTAATCACTGCGCTATTATACTTATTCAAGTTATTATTATAAAATTCAAGAAGTTCGAATTTTGCATACGAAAATCTTCTTGATATTCAAATCCAAAGTCAATCGTGGTTTTTGTATATCTTAGCCCGTAAATCGAAAATGTCTTTCTGTTCCACTAAATTTTTACACGTCTAATTGTAAGATTATTCTAAGGAAATTGACTGGAAAAATTTTGAAAGGATCGCATCGATCGCGTGCTCTCTCCGCATCCGTGTAGAAACGTGTGACGTGCTGCATCCTCGCGATAATGCATCCAAGCGGCGCTGCAACGTGCGACCGCATTCTCTATCACGCAATCTGTTCATCCTAATATTTACACGCGAGAGAAGTCTGTATTACTCGTATTTCCTGTCTGTTTGCCTTTCGATCAAAATCATTTAATCGCACGCGGAGGCGTTGCGAATCGTTCACGATTAAATTTCATCTTGTCACTTGCATCCCTGTAAATGCCACGCTATCCGATATAAACAGATAGAAATCGTTCGTGCATGTTACATATTAAAATTTCGCATGTACGTAACGAAATTGTGTGATATCGCAAATTGTCACGCTGATATCGCACCTGGAAAATATGTACATAACGATTTAATTTTAGTACGTAAATAAGATAGAAGAGAGAGAGAGAGAGAGAGAGAGAGAGAGAGAAAGAGAGAGATGAGAGTTTTAATTAATATTAATCTCATGTTATTTATTACACACGAGTATATTATGTGGACAATCAGAAATTAATTAAATACAATTTAATATCGATCGTTTAAATATTTCACGTAACGTTTATTTATTTAAATTATAATGAACAACTATATAAAATATATACACTCATTAAAAAGACCATTGAGACTTAAGTTAACATGGTAAAACAAATAGACTTTTTTGTTGTATATAAATGTCACATAAGGAATATCCGATTTATCTCTGTAGTTTTCAATCAAATGTCACGTTTTTACAACAATGTAAAATATTTTTCATTTTTTGTTATTTTTCATTATTTTTTGTACATAATACTCCTCAAACGCACCGTGCCGTAACTCATCGAGCAATTATTTGCAATTGTCGGAGACGGTCTGAATATTGACTCAATTGATTATTTAATTCGTGTATTTAAATTACACAAATGTTTGTATATACCCATGTATATAAAGAAAAATATAATATATAGAGTGACTCGCATATTATATTCTACTTAATATTTTCTCACGACAACAAATTCTCTTTCTTCAATGAATCAAAAATTACTTTTTTCTGAGAGAGAAAGGAAAGAATGCGATTTCATTAGATGCAATTTACATACAACTTTTTAATTGTCGACATTATATAGCTCGAAAAATGAGATGAATTAATATTTTATTAAAGTTTCTGAGATCATTTATTAATATTAAATTTTTAGCTGTAATTGGAATATCTTTTTATATTGAATTCACGTTTATTTTACTACTTTTTATTTTACTTTCCTCAAAAAAAAAAAAAAAAATAATAATTTAACTACAGAGATTTTATCGCGGAACGCCTTTCGTGCAGTTAATTAAATTGCACTATGCGTTTTAGTTGAAATATTAAATATCGTCTCTTTGATTCACCCTCGGTCTTCGGAATTTCACTTAAAGAGACGCGCATACATTCGCATTGTACGTGTCTCTCTTCTGTATCCCTTGTCATACAAATCATCGACATCTGCCTCGAGTGGTGTCTCGTCGCACAAATGTCGCGAAGCGCGCTCGCTCTCTCCGTGATGAGTAATTCAATTAAAGCAAGCTGTAGACCGGCGGCGGATACCCAAGGGCTGTATCGTGGCTATGATTAAGTCTACGTGGTTAATCGATTAATCTTCTATGGATATTATTGAAGTCAGACATAATCTCTATATATGCGCGCATAGTTAATAGTGTTTGAAGAAAATTATTTGGAAGCGAGTTCATGATATTGCACAAGTGTACATATATTATATATAATTTTGTGTTCAATTAAATTTTTAAAGATTAAGATTTCTAATAATTTTTAACATATAATATCTGTCATGTTTTCTAAAAGTTACAAATCTAAATTATTGCATGTATAATAAATGCAAGCTCGAATAAAATGCATAAGCGTGATGATATATAATATAATATTTTTATTTTTATTTAAATTTATATATAATTTATATAAGTATGATAAAAAATTGCAATAGTTGTTATAATCATAAAGTGTATATGCAATATTGAGACTAATTGTACGTCTCAAGTGCTTGAGTCCTTTCAGTCGAATCGAGTCCTCGTGACACGTTGCGTGAGATAATTGAGAAAATTCAGAACTACATATTACTAACGACTAATTGCTTATTCTCCAGTCTCTCTCGATGCGCGCCATGCACTTCCCGAGTATATGCGCTCGATTTTAGTCCGATGCAGCTGCTCGCACGAGCACGTTCGCGACGTTGAATTACTCACCATTCGTAACCGTGATGTGAAAATTAATTTTGCTACGTGCTACTATACTTGGGATTAGGTATTGTTAACCGCAGGTTGTCAAGATCGGTGCCGCGTACGATACGGTGTAGCTACGATAAAGTACCTTAGGTACGATTCGTCATGCCTACGCAATGACGACTTCTTTAATATATTACAGTGCTTATTCAAACGTCTGATTTAATATAAGAAGGTAGGCTTTTATCCTAACAGATTCATTTATTCAATTCATTTTCGGAATGTATTCTCTCTTTGTAACTGTTAATTAAAACATTCGTTACTATTCGTTAATACTCTTTGTAGCTTAACTTTTGAATCTAATATTATATAACTTTTTTAATCGTGGAATATAAAATATGTTTCAATAAGTAAAAAGTATAATTATTATGTTAAAATAAATTACGAAATAATAATTTAAAAAATATATATACCAGGTTTGTTACTTTATTAATTTTATTGAATCTATTTATATTAAATATATAGTTTGCATTAATATATAGATTACTTTTGCAGTTGTGTTAATAGATGTACATTTATCTCAGTATGGCTATTAATAGAACGATAAAATCATAAAATCAGATAATTGAAAAAAAAAATATTTGACGAAAGATACGTATTCGGAAAATGACTTTTTACGCATTATTAAAACGCGCAGGATAAAATATCAAACGTTAAAAATCGCAATAAACGATTCTTGTTGATTTATTTCGAACGGTCGATGTAATGCTCGTGCAATAAACTCCGAAATTGCGAGTTATCTGACCCGTTCTCCTCGTGGTAAAATCGGCAGTCTTTTATTATAGCAGATTGTGCATTGCTCCGCTCACAATGCTCTCGAGTTCTGTAACGCGATCCTGTTGTGCGCGTGAATATTCGCGTTGATGATAAATGAATCGAGTACAACAGTTTTTCGAAAAGGGCGGACAAAACGCACATTCAACGCACTTGTAAATAACTACTGCATCGAGAACACGCTGATACGAGAGCGTGGGCTATCGCGTCGGGAAATGAAACTTATATATATTGGAGATAGAGGAGGAAAGCCATTAAAACTTAAAAACTTACATCGAGCAAATTCATCAAAGAGGCACGTCTACGAGGATCAGGCTCCGTCATGGCGGCCAATACTGATTGCAAAGCGGAAGAGGGTGAAACAGAAACGGTCCCCGTTAATGCCGCTATTCTAGGAGTCGTGTCGAGTAACGCCCTTCCTAAAGAGTACATCCACATCTGTAATCAAAATAAGATCAAATATTAGAGAGAGATTTAGAAGTCTCTAAAATATTTTTCAATCAGTATAAATATTTTGCTAAAAATTTCTAAATCCGTCTCTTTATGGGATTCTATGCATTTCAACGCATATGTAGTTGTGTCCTCACTTTTTCGGAGAATGCGAAATATTCACTAGCAATGGTTACAGTGGTATATACAACGATTACCTAGGCCAACACGAGCGTGAAAAAGCGTTACTTTTTTCGACGATTGTCGCTCTTACATTTTTCACTGCGTGACACAAGCGAGTTGTTAGAATGATCTCTGTAACACAACGCTGAGAGTCGCACAGGTGCTGTAGCCTACATGTATATATATATATATATATATATATATATATATATATATATATATGTAGTTACCATTGCTTCCCGTTTTATGAAAAAACGAAAAAAATGATGCAGCTGGAACTTGAAGTCAATGTAGCTTAAATTTGTGAAGCTTTCACATTTTTTAAATACTGATATTTATGTAAAAAGAAATAAAATGTATCAATGAAGTAATTAAAAATTGGATAATTAAAATTAATGAAATGTTTAAAGTTTTGCATGATAAAAGTCTTGCACTGATGCAAACTTATATCATCTTGAATATAATGTCCTGTTTATTCAAATATTAAATGAAGATGAAATGTCATTGATGCTTATTTTTCAAGCATATTAAAGAGATAAAGTACCTATAGTCAATATTTTTTTATAATATTGAATGAAAGTATTGGATAACATTGTTTTTTCAACAAGTAAAAATATTGATAATTGCTATTCTCGGATCTATTATATAATCCTTCTTGATATATCAAGATACGTGTGCATGCATGTTTCACATATGCGTGTTTTCTTTTATCAAATAAATCCAATTATTAAATCCGCTTTAGGATGGCAAGAAAGACTTGGCTTTCGAGACTCGAGATTGATGTATTATTCTTCGCCGCGCGACACAGCTTAGCTGATACAAGAGAGACTACTCTTCGAGATGGTATTTTATTTATCAGCCTATAGATCTTCGTCTAGAAAAATAAATGCAAAAATCTACAAGTTTCACAAGATTGTTTTACAAAATTCAGTGAAAATATCTTTAATCATTTGACACCTTTCTCAGTAGCTATTTACTTATCTACGTGAATCCGTACACATTTTTATACACGAATATAAATTTTAAAATACGTTACTTTAAATTTTAGCATAAATAAATTTCTTATTATTTAATATATATGCTGCTCTACACATATATTTGATACATGGTATATAAACAAAAGATTCGAAATTGTTTTAGCTGTTCCAAAAAATATAATTAATTTTTTGTTTGTTGCATATCTTTTGATTAATGCCCGTATTTAATATCTATTTTACATAGAATTTTATATAATATAATTATGCTATTAATTTTATTAAAAAATTTTTTTATGATTACATATTCTTTTTATTAACATCCTATTACGTTACAGGCGAGAGAATATGAAATGTTCAAATCATACACTCGTCTTCTGTACCTAAATCAAAGTTTGATATTGGGGTTTTGCAATGTAGAACGGAACAGTTTACTGGTGTTATGTCGGGAAGTTGTAGAAATTACTGTATCGTTTTTTCTTTTTATTTTGTTTTATTGTAGAAACTTGTAAAAGAAAAGGCATTTCTTTCCATGCATTTTACAAGATTAAATTAGTTGCCTTTCGTATAATTCTTGTAAACGTCTTTTGTTGTCTGTGTCTTCATATTGAAGAAGTATTGCTGAATGTCTAATGAACTGTTAATTATTTCCAGCTCAGTAGCGCAATAAAATTAATTATATTTTTTCCTGAAATAAAATGCCATTCTTCTTTCTTTGCTAAAATCTTTGCGATAAAATAGAATTTATTTCTCAATATCATGTTTTAAAGCATCGTTAATGGAGATGCACTAGTACTTTATTCGATTGAAATTGAATATTGCATTTTGATGTTGACTTGTGTATAGAATACTGACAGAGAGAAAACAGATTGAAATATTAAATTCTAACGAGTTTTAGTGAAAAAATTTCTCATGTTTTGCATTTAATCAATATAGTATTTTCAAGATAATATCTCTCTGCGTTACGAATGTAAGTGGAAAGAGAAATATACTTTACTTGAACTTCCTCTTTACATTTTTAAAATATTTTCTCAGTCCCATATCATAAATTCTAGTTTCCGAATAACATATAAAATGCGAAAATTAATATCTAATTTTTTTCCAATATTAAATCATTTCTCTTTAATTTGTTTAATTGTATTGACATTATAATTTTTTCCATCATACTACTTTTCTATATATTAACAAATATATATTAACATACGAATGTCCATGTCAGAAAATTTAAAATTTGTTACAATTTTTCGCAAGAGATTTCATAAAATATCGAATGATTAAAATATAATATATAGACTTTATATTTTTACCATTGAATCTTTATAAACACCAAAGATTTTATTTCAATGCTACATCAATATAGTTACGCGGATTGCAAAGTTTTCCCTGTAGTCGCGTAAACGTAAATTACAATCGCTTTTGTGCGCAAGATTAACGAGCGATACGGATATAGCAGGCTGTATCAGGGTTGCGTGCTTTCCGCAAGGACTTATCTTTTCGTTAGAGGGAAGGCTTCGAAATCGGTGATATAAAAGAACGATGAGAGCCGAAGTTTATTTATCGTGCGCGCCGTTTGTTCTGCCTTTAATCTGCAGGAGATAAATACCCCGGTCCGTGTTGAAACAACGAAGCTCTATCCGGCCATCAACGGGAAGAAAGGATGGCGCTAAGGGGGTAGAAAGAGCGAAAAAAAAAAAAAAAAATCGCGGCGAGAGATGGAGGAAGCGAGAAAATCCGACAGACGCGCGCGCCGAAAAAAATACGGAGAGAGACGTAGAGAAATGTGGCGCTAGGGGATTTTGATAAAGATACTAAAAATGCTGCATCCCTCTTTACGTTCTTCGAAATCTTTCGAACAGTCGGCCTCGCAAAACGACGGCCCCGTTAAAAATTCAGCTCGACGCTGAAACGCGGATGTCGAGCAAATATAGAGTCGTCGGACCGTCAAAGGACGACCATGGCGGCTTAATCCTTTTCGCGCTGAAAGGATTTTAATAGAACGCGTTCTTAATTCTTCGCTCTTTTAATTACACCATCACCGACCTCGCCCTTCCGGTAAATAGCGACGCTATTTATACGCACATATGTGTAAAATCGACCAGCCGAAACGAAGATATTTTTGATAAATATGTTTCTCTCTTCTCGAACTTCCACATATTTCGTGATTACACGGAAATACTTCATTATGCATAATTATTCGATTCATTGAATATTTATTTTTATCGGGATAATACACATTAAAAGCATTACAGATATCACATTTTGTGATTATTCAAAAGCTGCGAGCATTTCGCAAATTCGGATAATAATAAATAAATGCGTTGTAGAGGCGGGAAACCGAACGAGACATGAGAAAATTTACGGGAAAAAATGGAGAAAATTAATTTTAAAATTTATGACAAATATTTTATACGACATACTAGGCAGGAATAATTAACGTTAATAAGATTTAGTGAGTCGGTGTTATATGATAGAGCAACGGATGTAGTAAAAGAAAATTCAAAATGCTACACTAAAATTCATCAAAATTATTTTACATGGATTTTACAGTCGGAGCGCGCGTAATCCGTTATTGAAAAATTAGTTATTAATGGCGCATCATCAAGCTCTGTGCGTTGGAAATGTAACGTACTTTTTCCGAATCCGTGTCCGAATAAATCCGACCGGGTCGATATTCTGGTGGTAAATACGCGCGAGCAGTCTCCGGCGGCGCGAGCTGCAGCAAAACCCTGCCATGTGGTGTCAATTCCAGTGTGTGTGGAGTCACCACTGGTCCTGCTCTTGAACCACCCACCACGCCTCCATCTGGAACAAATATTAATAGGAAGTATTAGAGATTATGTATGTGCCATCAGATATGTAAATTACTACGCAGCAAAAAAAAAATAGAAGTATCTCGTCAGCTAATAATGCCAAAAGTACTTCGCTAAATTAAGTATCATATTTGTTTTGACAGTTATAAATAATAATGAGAGCAATTAGATGTATATTAATAATATAATATAAATTCATATACACTGTACAGTTATGTTTAAAGATGATATACTGCATATATATATATATATATATATATATATATATATATTTTTTTTGTAATTTTGAGAGAAGAAAGCTGCCATTTTTGGATAAACTTATACGGAGAAAATTTGTATACAGCAGAGAAAAGGGAGTAAAATTTATTTAAGATTTGTAGGACGAGTATAAAAAATTAAGTACACGAAAATTTTTGGAATTTATTAAATGATATGACGTATACACAGAAATCTCTTTGTCTTTCGGGATAGTGGTTTGGCGTGTTGTAACTTAACCGATGGTTTTAATGTGTTGTATATAATGATTTGTCGCTCGAAACTCTCTATAATCGGTCACACTTGTGCCAAACTCTACTTACGGAGAATTAAAGTTATAATTAATTCTTCGACTATCTAGTTATAGTTATAGGAAGCGCGCGACCGATAGGCTTAAAGGCAGTTAGAAATTGGTCGCAGGTGCGCGTATGAGAATCTTCTACTCGACAAGGGGATTTTCCGGAAATTGCTCGGTTTATTTACCGCGCGTTCTTGCCATCCAGAATCATTTATTATGTTTGTAATACTCTGCGTACTTTTCAACGTCCACTGTCAGGGGGTCCTACGGAATTGTGTAAACCTTTGGGATGTAATTGAAGGGAAATCGCGTTGGCGAGGTCGGGAAAGATTGGAGGAAATGGTGAATCTTCCCGACCGCTTCTGTAAATCTCATCTTCTTCTGCAAACTTCTAATCGTATTTTCTTGAATTCGCGTGCGCGCGCCTTCAGTTGGCTTCAATATCGACCAAAGACGGCTGCTAGTCAATCTTTTTAACATTTTCCGATCGTGGTTATAACGGTGATTGAATTTTATCGCAGTTTCTGTATTATTACATTATGGATGTATATAGAAGAATATCGACTTTAAAATACTTTATAATTATTTTATAAAAATATCAGATATTTTAAAATAAGTTATAAATTAAAAAACCAACTTAACGAGCTGATTAATTAGGTGTTAACAATTTATTCTAAGTCATGAAAATAATACAAATGATAATTAGTAAACGTTTCTGTACGACAGTCTTTATCAATACAAATATCGCTTTGCTAACATATCCATAAATCAAATAATTAAAGACTGTCGTACAGTCGAAACGTTTACTAATTATCATTTGTATTATTTTCATGACTTAGAATAAATTGTTAACACCTAATTAATAAGCTCGTTAAGTCGGTCTTTTAATTATAACTTATTTTAATTTTAATTTTATTTCTCATGAGATATTTTACTTCAGCGTCATTTTGTTTTGCTGTGTCTTAATAATACAGTTTTATAAGTCGTCACATTTTACATGCGAACATTGCGTCGCTTTTATGCAATGGTAAACAGTCTAGGCACAAGTGCCACCAGACCGTCTATTATATTCGCTCCCGTTATAAATCCCGTACAATTCGCCATTCGGGTGCTAATTTTGCGCGTGTCACGGACATTAACAGCCTAATGGTGGGCTAAAGCGCCTTGACACGGAGAATATTCTCCTACGAGTACGCCCCGGTAATTTAGGCAAGCGCTTTCACCGACAAATTCTTCCCCCTTCCATTACCTTTGCTAAGGAAATTAGTGGAGAACCAACGTGCGAAAATCGACACGTTAAATAATTAAAACCGAGAGCGTTTGATTAACTTCGGCTAACATTTATGCAGGTACTTTCAAATGGTCGTGTCATTCTATTTTGATCAGAAAGATTCGTATGTAAAACATTTTGAAATTTATCGTATACGAGTTTTACACGTTCGACATAGTTATTTATTTGCAAATTCGCTACGTGTTGCAATTTATTTCTGTCCGTTAAACTTCGTTGCAATCAGTGATACGAGTCGCGATTTCTAATTCTACCAGTAGTCAATCTCTACGGACGATCGGACAGTTCTCCGGTGTAAATTAGAAAGCAGAAACGTCGAACGGAACGTCGCTTCCGAACGATAAACTATTTCCGTTCGCCGAAGATTTAAGCTCTAAGGAAATTAGGTGGGTTTGAATGGGATCGACGTGTTTCCTGATAAATCTCGACTAATCCTTAAACGAGAAGAGACGACTTACGTAATCACGTCATCTGATCATTATACTTTAACGTCAAACTAGAAATCATGTACACTCAAATATAGCTAAAAAATTTGTGTAAACTTAACAAATATCATATGTTCCAAACGGTTCCACGTATAAAGAAATTTTTGTATTAATTTAATATAATATGGATAATTTAATATTATATAATCAAAGTACAGATATGACGAATAATTGTGTTAATATTTTAATACAGATAAATGCAAAGTATCAAGTAATTTGGAATAAATTTTATATAAAATTTACATAGTTTTAATGTAAAAATTAACTTAAAAAATATTAAGTTTACATTTTATTATTCTTATTTATATTTTCGAGTAAAATCAACATTTTTTTTTTTAATTTTAACAGATCTTGTCACTAATAATGCAGAACATATTTATTGTGTAAAATTAAAAATAAATGCACATTGTGTTCTTCTTAAAATTTTTTTCAATTGTTTTAATAATTTAACATTTGAGTTTACTTAACACAACAGCAATATGTTAAATTAACATAAATGTGTTAAATATTTAACAGAAAAATTTTGACGAACTTTTTTAACATAAAAGAAAAGTACAAATTTTCCAACCGTGAAGGTATTTAAAATAAAATTATATATAAAAATAATTAGACAACCATATATTATAATTTAAAATCAAATATAAATGGATTTAGTGCAACTGTTACTTTTGCAAACATAGATTGGTTGTTTTTGAAAATATCCATTTGCATAACAACGTTAATTGTCGATGCCATTTGCATTTCGTCGGTAGGAAGAAATTTACTGGATAAACCGTACGGTACGTTTTCGAGAATTTTGCGTCATCTATCACTGTCCCTTTTTCACCGGCGATGTGTGTTATTTCGTCCGATGTCGGACCAGTAGTCGATCTCGGTAAACGATCGACTCTCGCAGTCGGACGGCGCAGTCTGATCGTTGACGATAAAACAAAGATTTGCTGCTTTGTAGGATATACAAGAGTCGCCGAAATTAATGGCATGGAGATTTATTTGCTGTAAACAGTGTTTGTAACGGAACGCGACTTCACCGTTTCGTCCGGAAAGTTGACAGACAAAATTCACTCAGCATAAAAATAGCAATCACTGTTTGCGAAATTTAAATCAAGTTGGAAAATTGTGCGCCACAATTTTTCACGAGACGATGCAAAATAAATATGAAATAAATTGTTTTAAATATATGTATATTTTTACTATTTTGTTTTGAATTAATATTCTTTTACATACATTTTATTGTATGTTTCTTTATGTACGCAGTTACTAAATAATTAAATTGAGTTAAAGATGCTAATAACTATTTTGGACAACATTAACGCGTAATATCAATTATTATCGGCTAATTATTGTACCTGCTTCGTTAATGTAAAATGAATTTACGTTATGTATGAGCGTGTTTACGAAATCTTCATATGTGATTGATGATGATGTGTATATTTCGAACATTAGATCGTTGTATACATTCTAGCATACATCTTTTGCATTCTCTCTATGCCACAAAAAGGTTGAAGTAGATCTTCATGTTACATCGCATTGTATCTGTCTTCCATCGATCTTCGTTCGGGCAATAATGGGAAATAGCGGGGGCATTCCAAAGCTTTTAGTTTAAAAATGGAAATGCCTTTCCAGAGGGACGGTTATATTTTTTTCAGAATTTCTAAGGCAGCATAATCTAGCTGTCTGTATTCTCTTTTTGCTCCGTTAATATTGAAGGTATTTATTAGAAAATAGTGAGTTTTCATTATATTTTTCCATCAATAAACTATGTTCTAAATATTTATTTAATTTTTCCCGAATAATTTTATTTAATATTTGATGGGAATGCTTGAACTAAAAATAAGCGAACTTGTCCGTTTAATCATGAAATAGGTCTTTGCTCAGTCAAATTGAATATAGAGTTGACTTTGTAGTTTCTATTACATGCCGAAAGAAAAAGAGGCGTATAAAACGATGCGAATATCTAAAAAATCAGAAATCTCTGATAAACATATATGTTTGATACAGTTTCAGTTGGATTCATATCTAGATCGCTTTCTTTTTTTATAATGTGTAGTTGTGTCTTTGAAATTTTCTTTATTATTGTGATATATTAATGATATACATGATAGCTCGCCGACATACTTTAATGACAGATTTCACCTTAATTAATTAAAAAAAATCTTCCTTAATTGCCAAATCGTGCTAATAGTTTTCAAGTAAGTTTCAAGTTGTAAGTGACAGAAAATAAATGATCTCTGTTATTAAGTTTTAACGTTAAACACGTGAGAACGTTTTCATCGAATTTAAAAAAATTTGAGTGTTAACAGATTGATAAAACTTCAGAATTTTATATATAAAAAATATTTGATGTATTGAAAATAATAAAATAACTTTTTGATATAAAGCATCACTTTACATCACTACCTGAATATTATTTCTCAAAGTAAACATAATATTTCTCTTGGAGTTACTGTCGCGGTATTTTGGCTTTTAATCTGCAAAGGAACGTTTAAAGGGCTCTCCAAGAAAGCGAGGGTAAGCGACGAGAGTTAGATAGTCGTCTCTTTGTGGCTAATGAGAGACAAAGATAGATGAGATAGAACGGAGGGAAACTTCATATGTCGGGATTATCGGAATGCTCGCCCTTCATCTCTCGGTTATTCGTAGTGGATGACCTCGATACCGCTTGATAT